ATTGACCGGAGTTCAACTCATACTAACACCACCAGAAGGGGCATCGCAGAGCGAAATCGCCAAGGCTGTCCAGCCTGATCCAAACATCATACACGAAGACGAACAGGAAGAGGAGGAAGAAAAGACAAAGCACAAGAAATCTCATCGTATCATGAACTTCATCCGCGGTACAGCAAAGGGTGGTGTAACAACAGCTCTAGCTGCCGACAAAGCCAAGGCGAAAGCAGGTGCTCATCACGCAAAGAACCGTCTGGGCGTAGTCAAAGGTCAAGAGCCGTATCCTCTCACGGGACCAATTCGTTTCCCAGCGCGATACAAGGGTAAAAAGGGCCATGCGTACATCACAGCGACAGCTACGACACCTGCTGTTAGTTGGACGACTGAGCTGGGAGATCTAAAGCCCGCCTGGACTGTGACTATTGGTGACATCGACGAGCTGAAGAAGATGGGTGGTCTCGGGTGGAAGAGCAAGATCATTGTTGGTTGGGCTATGGGGAGTGAGATTGTGGATGGTTTGATGATCAAGACCAAGGACGGGCAGGAACATCATCTCACGGCGGTCTCCATGCGGGATCAATTGTTCAACAGGTTGATCTCCATGGGAAATCAGATGTGGGAGGCGTGGTAGATGCGTCTTTTGGGGGTAGTCTTGATTTGGTAGGTGTCTGGAGTTAGGTGATGGAATCATGATACTCTTTGATACCAGGAATACGAAGTACGATGTGGAATCAATGTTTGGAATCAATCGAATTACAAGTCTAGACCTCGCTAGCTGAAGCATTAATGTGAACAAAAGATCCTGCTTTGTAATATCGCGAGTCCACTGAGGATCTCAGTACCTTAAATCCTCCAAACAATCGAGTCAAACGTGGGGAAAGTGGGACAAGTTGACAGGGTGACGTCAATTGAGCACAGATGAGAGCTTACAGATCAAATCGCATCTGCAGTGACAACTCGGCCGAGGTCGCTCAAAGGTGGGGGATAAAAAGGGCGATGGTGATACAAGAAAACAAGAATATCCCCCGCCAATTCCCTATTTCTGTACAAGATCGTCCCAGTCGCAAGCTAAACCCATCATGAGCTTCACCCCAGAGCCCTACGACCCCATCACCGCCGACTCATGGCTCGTCTGCGACACCTGTGGAACTCAATTCCCAACGTCCGATCGCAGCACCCTCAAGACATGTCACGTCTGCGATGACCCGCGCCAGTTCGTGCCGCCGTCTGGCCAGTCGTTTTCTACTCTGGGAGAATTGAAGAAGAAGCATAAAAACGAATGGACCAAGTGTCGTTCTGATGAGAACATCACGTTCATTTCGTCGCAGCCGAAATTGGCAATTGGACAGCGTGCTATTCTTATCAAAACGCCAGAGGGGAATGTTCTCTGGGATTGTATCACGTTGCTCGATGATGAGACCGTTGAGAGGATTAAGAGCGAGGGAGGGTTGAAGGCGATTGTTATAAGCCATCCGCATTTCTACAGCACCCACGTTCAATGGGCTCGCGCATTCAACTGTCCAGTCTATCTCGCCGCTGAAGACAAAATCTGGACAACCCTCTCCTCAACACATCAAATCTTCCTCACGGCCCTCGAAACGCCCATAATCTCCACGGCAAAGGCCATCAAGCTGGGCGGGCACTTCCCCGGCTCCATGGTGCTGCACTACAACTCGCGGCTGTTCATAGCCGACACGCTTATGACGACGGCGTCGGGCGTCGGGAACTGGAGTGTAGACGCCACGGGATCCTCGCGGACCCGACCGGCTGGGTTGAACTCGTTCTCGTTCCTGTGGAGCATTCCCAACTTCATTCCTCTGGGCGTTGGGGAGATGGCGAGGATGTGGGGGATCCTGAAGGGGTATGAGTTTGGGGCAACGCATGGTGGGTTTATGGGGATGGATATTGAGAGTGAGGATGTCAAGGGGAGGGTTTTGGAGAGTATGAAGATACAGGCTGGGTTTATTGGGGATAAGGAGTTTGAGGAGAAGCTGTGAGTATAACGGCGATGCATATCGAATGCTTTTTGTATGAGAGACGAGAGACGAGAGACGAGAGACGAGAAATGAAGAGATGATAATGATGTGGTTCAATTAAAAATATGTAAATAAATAAATCAGGTCCATTCTGATATCTGGGTATCGATCAAGTTTTCAACATGCATCCAACTCCTGCTCATGCATCTCAGTCCCTCTATCCATCGACGCCATATATCTCAGTATAATAAACATGCAAAGTTCAGTCCTTCTTCCAGAACTTCCACTTTTGCTTTGTCGGCGACGATGGACATAGATAACGATTAAGCAGCTCTCGACCCTCATCAGGAAGATCGATGACGGATTCATTGAGCGTATCGATAATAAAACGGTTCGCTATAAATAATTAGCATCAATTTAATACCCAACTAAAAGAAAGAGGGGAGCTTACGCATCAAGTCAACGCCGCATTCGCCAGCATCAATGGCCATATCGATCCTCGTGGAGTTGTAGCACCCATATCGAAGTTGCAGCTCAAGCATACATCTCCACAACTCTCTTGTCTCGTCAAGGCTCATGCCTTCGCAGCTGCGTTCAGAGCATGTGCTTGCTTGGCGGGATCGTTGGCTATCGTGATGGGATTGTTTTGGTAGAGGGATTGCCTCGTCGCTGGGGGGACTCCACATGGCGGGCAGGGAGAGAGGGCCGGGATGATTCTCGCGATACATTTTGGGTGGTGATAAAATGTTGGTGATCGTAATGAAGTTGGTGAATGTTGAGAAGAAGGAGTCGAGGTCTTATATAAACAGCCTCAATTATCTTCTGCTTTCTTTTTTTCTCTCTCGCCCTTTTCTTGATTTCAGGCTCGTGAGTTGTCTCTGCTGTAGTGGGGTTTTTCACTTTCTGGCCCAAGATGACAGGCAGAACCCTGCTTATTTATATCAAAGCGCAAAAACAAAACATAAACACCAAAAACCAGGGCGAACCCGATTAAGTTATACTAACGAGCGTGTCCCACGGTGAGTACCGCAGACAAGCAAGCAAACAGGAGGGTGGGAAGCTTTACGCAGTCAGCGGGAGAGCGCCACTTTGAGGGTCTGAGACAGCTTCTTGATGATTGATGGAGCCAAGAAAAGGCGTCAGTGAGTCACATGTGGGAATAAACCATGCTTAATTCCGTGTAATCAGTGAGTTTTGCTCCGATATTGTATCGGGATGGGTGTCATCATCGGAACATAGCCTGACGGAATAGGTAGAGTAGACATCACAAGTGATCGACTTTGCATGAAAAGACACGGGAGAGAGAGAAAATCCTTTCGGCAGTTTGAGTACGTACTTTGCCCGACAAAGGCCAGTGACCTGTCGCTCGACGCCAAGTTAGTGTGTGATCTGCGTGGACCATGATGGATTGAGGCTTGCAAGCCTGATCTGATGCCCAAGACCAAGAATCAAGACTCAAGATAGGGGGGGGTCACAAGGACAGGCTTGTGATAACGACAGACGCCAAAGGACAGGGCGGTTTCGATAAGCTTTTGCCTAACAGCAGTGGCATGGCATGATAGAACCATGACGACGGGATGGAAGATAGCAGAAGCATACATACCTAAGCTACGGGATAAGTAAGTTGGCGGTGATTTGAGTGAGGTCTGTTACTGTACCCGTGAAAGCCGCTATAGCCGGGTCTCTCTTCAGTCAGGGCACTCAGCAGTTGCATTCTGAGCCAAGACTGGTTTAAGGCTGAAGGGAGGAAACATCCGGTTGCCCCGCCCCGTAAAATAGGTACAAATAGCACGGGACGACCCTGGGGTTCCACTGGCGGAGGAACCCTTTTTAGTGACTGAGCTCTCTAGCAATTGAAAGTACCGCCGGTATTCACGGATGAGTTAGACGTTGAGTATAGGTATTCGTTGAAGCGGTCAAGACTTCGCAACTGGGGCAGTGTTTTTTTCTCAACGGTTCAATCCCAATGCAAGGGATATTTCACCGCCAAGACTGCAAAATCACAATTACGTGGCGTAGTCTACAGTACAAACTCAACCACAATCATGAACAAAACAGCTGCGCCTCGAACCAAACACGTGCAGATATAGCAAGCAAACAGCATACCTACCTATCTTACGTGGACATCTCCGAGCAGTCAGTTGGTATTTTATTAATATTTTCGTGGCGTTAGATCTTGGCTGTGGCGCACCCTCCCCGGATGCCACCTTTGGGTCTTATTGTTCCAGATCGTGGATTTAAGCTTGGACTTGGTGGAGAAGGTTCTTAGCGATGGAGAGCTATTGTTACTTCGCGTGTGGAAGCTGAATGTTTGGGGGAAAGATAGTTTGTGGTCTGTTGGAGGAGAAAAGGTTTGGCCAGTGTAAAAGAATGAAGGGCAGATGGCATGTTGCGTCAAGCTCTTACTGATCATATCAGGAACAATTGAGATATTAGTTTACGTGCTGTTGAAGCAAAAAGAGTCTAATTGGTGCATGGATGTTTGTTCAATTGACTTGGAACGGATTGTAAATTAGCTGCGGCCAAAGGATGGCTCCGAATGATTGACTCTCATCCATCCATACCCCAAGCAGCGTCTGAGTCGGTATCCGTAGATACTCTACACGAGAATCCAAACACTTCACATTGACCAGATCGATCTTCAAACCTGAAGCATGAATATCCTCACTGATAACCGAGTCGATCGCAATAATCTCCGTCAATAGTCACAAACTAGCGCTTGCTAGTTCGCCATCCAGCTTCAGCTGCAATCTCCCCTGTCAAGAAGGGGCAAAAAAGCTAGGGCTTTTTATATAAGTGATTAAAATACTTAAACAGACTCAGTATATTTTATCCGTACTTTTAACCCGTTTATTTTGATAGACCCACTCAGTGTTAGAGGTTTTCTTGCTCTCTTAGGCCTCTCAACATCTAGAATCCAATAGTTCCGTCTCCTATTCTATGGTAAAAAGTCTTCATAATTGACGATGGAGTAATTTCTCTCTTTCATCTGCTTTGGCAGCCATCGCTCGCCATTGTATCGTCAATATGCGTGTCGCGCTTCTATGGTCGCTGCTTGCGGCAGATGCTGCGGTCGCCAGTGTATGTAAACCTCGCCAGACAAGTGGTTCAAGTAGGTACTTCTACAATGTCTGGAGGAATTGAGTAACTGATTGTCAACAGGCACGGCTGTGATCGAGACTGCAACGACAGCTTCTGTTGAGTTATCCACCAGCGTCGCGACGTCCACAGTGGAAGATGTAACTACTACCGAAGCTGCAACGACCGTAGAGACCAGCACCGCGACAGCTGCTTCAACACTCACAGTCGCCGAAACCACAACAAGCGACGTCGCTGGACCCCTAGAAACATTCGCCCTCGCCGCCAAAGTCGAAGGCACCGTTAGTGACGAGCTCTCAGGCGCCGACCGCGATGGCTCTGCAGTATTCTGGCCAACACCACGCTTTATCGCCAGCGGTCCAGTGATCATCTCCATCGACTCCACGACGGGTTATCTCCAAACAAGCGGTGGATTCTACCTATGCGTTGCATACGGAGATGGCACTTCACCCAATGGTGTCAAGCTTTGCAGCGCCGAGTCGCTTGAAAACCCTGCATTTGGCGCTCTTACGTGTGAGCAGACGGAGGATCGGAAGGTTGCATGTGAAGCTCAAGCTGGGCAGTGCATTAGCGATGGTGAGAACAACATATGTTCCGGGCTCCCGGGGACGTATGATCAGTTCTATTACTATAAGGGACCCTTCAATGGGGTGTATCTCGGTATCGGGTCTGCTGTGAATTCCGATGAGACCCGGCATCTTGTTGAACTCGAGGCCAAACGAAGCAGCACATGATTATGGAACTAGATACCTGAGCAGACCACATTTGGAAGATATAATGAATAGCTGCCATGATCTGTGGCTCATAGCTCAAGACCCTGCGTCGTTAAACCTCGGAGCTTCCCAGCCACGGCGGCCGATCCAACGTTCCAGACCCGTTATGTCACCTCAGCCCTAAAACTTCGTACATCAGGTTGCGTGTTCCCGGTTGTTGGGTCTCAAGCTTTATGCAGTCAGCTCACTAATGCCGGCACCACCGGATGCTTGCAGCTTGAGTTAGTGAAAGTCAATGAATGTTAACGTTGCTGCCTGTTAGAACTTTAAACTGTAACGATTGGAAGCACCCGATTTTGACGTCAATTGAATGGAGTTTGTTTGTTAGCTAAATTATGACAGTGAGGGGTTGCTGTTGACGGGCGCTGAGATGCGTGGGGATGAGCTTCAGCAAGATGAACACTCGCCGATGACTCACATTGTCAAGCTTGTGATGACTCAAAAGTTGAAGGAGAATACTATAACTCCTATCCATGCCGATCTTGCTGACAAGTAGTGCGCAAGATGCGATAAAGAGCAACCGACGATGGTGACCACTGCCTGAGAACGACGCCAACTTGCATCTCGACGGCGATAAGAAGGAATTCCGAGACCACATCAACGAGGAGGTTTTCTGATCACGAGAGGCATGAACTCAACATCAATGCCGGGCATGTTCCGAGACTACATCCTCCTCACGATGCGAACGAACAATAAATCAATGCTGACCTCGCAAGGGCGCACATGTAAAGGAAAGCTTGCTGGGGAATGATCCAATGAGGCACCAGTTTGATAGTGCTGAGAAATGCACAGCAGCTTCGCAAAGCTGTAACGGGGGGGGGGATTCTCTCTCATGAAGGTGGTTGATGACCAGACTATACCGACTCTTGTCACCAGCTTCTATGTTCCCCGACTCTTCAAAAACTGACACAGCGCCACACAACTTAATCCTAACCGACCCTCAACTCCGTTGATTGGAATCAGTACGGAACATCATCTACACGCCTCTTTCCAGTACCGACCAATCTCAAACTCTGCACCACCCAGCGCTTTAAGCCATATCAGAAACCCGAGCTCTTGAATGAATCCTAGCTGGCCATTGAGTCAGAACGACGCACCAGCTTTGGGAGGATGTCGTTGTGTTGATTCCTTCAGCTTGAGACTTGAACCGCTCGCGCTGCCCTTCCCTTGCTCTCGGAGACGATGAGATAATGCCCCAGAGAAGATTTGATAGATTCTCTACTCAACTAGATAATGATTCTCATCGTTTGTGGGATGTTCAAAGATGTAGTCTATGTCCATTATTTCCGCCAATGCTGAGCTTGCAGATTCCATCATACTAACACGTCAATCGGACTGCCTCGATGCACAAGCTTCCTGAACAGATCTATCAGCGATGTGCTATTGAACAATGGCTAGCATTTGTTAGAGTGGAACACAGACTGGTTGGACATAAGACCATCCAAAGAAGACCCATCGGTAAAAGCCTCCATCTTCATGTCTGGATTCACGAACTTGAGTCGCTGGCTGATATGCTCGCCAAGCTGATCGATATCCATAGCCGTCTATCTAGTGCCATGGGTTGCTATATTTGCTGCTGGAAGAGAGAAGCCCATAGCAACCCCAAAGAAGGCACACCATGCCGGCACAGATCTTCTGACGGTGGAGGAACCGGGTATCAGACATACTCAATGGTGCCCGGGTCGCTGAGCCTAGCCTGCACTCCAGCGAGGATGAGGTCCTTTCTGAAGACGTACCTGTAGACACGGCGGATTTTACAGACTGGTCATCGCGTTCCCGCCATGAAATGCCATGCATTGGTAACGACAGACGGCGACGCTTTCCAGGCATAGCAGCTGTGCGAAACGAATGTGTCCTTCTGCAGGACGAACAGTTAAAGAAAGGACGAAGTTCAATCCGGTGCATCCTTGGGATAAGAGTGATGGCATCCCTTAAAATAGGAGTGTCAAAGACTCATTGTGTTGCAGAGAGTGCCACTTCTAGCAGCTCTGCCTCGCATGGCTCAACACTAAAACATCATCAACTAGCTCCACGTTGAGCGAATCTGGTATCCCGAGACACGGAAGAATCGTACAAGGGACTACTCATACGCAGCCTACCGTAGTCTCTTCAACCATGGCGGTCGCTGCACGCTGTAGAAATGTACAGGTCTATTCGCGAACATCGTAGGTCTTGCCTGAACCGTTTGCACATAACCGTCACTCTGTCTGAAGCATACACACCTTTTAGTTACTCGACAGTTTACACTAGAAAGGTTATCTAGAGGTTGATCTTCAGCATGGTCGGTACAGTATCCTGCGCTGAGTTATCAGGACTGCCACTGATATCGGTTTCCTTGAAACTCGAATAAGATGTGGCGTATCTATCAGTTCTAGAACTGACTGTGGAAGAAATATCCTCAGGCTCCGATAATAAATTTATTGTCCACGTGCATATCGTGAGTAACTCTGGAGGACTAGCAAGGAGAGTTAGAGCACTAAGCACAGATGAGAACAAGATACACGATACTAGCATTTAGATCTGTCTTCCAATCAATTTTGCCTTGGGTAAATACTGAACGCCCAAGATAACACCGAGTAGAAGGTATCCCACTCTGCCATCCTCTTCCAACAATTTCGACAGATAGACCTCACTCGCAACAAGAAACCCAGAGGCATAGGGGGCCTGGCACATATCTGATAACATTCTTTCGCTAATAAGGAATCGTTTTGCGAATCTGAGCGATATCTGGTTCTATGTACATGCTGCAGCAAACAGTTCGTAAACCCTAGCTTCCATGAGTGAACATCACAAAGTTTGGTGCACAGAGACACAGGCAGCATAGCAACAACACTAATCCGTGCTTGAAAGGCCATAGTCCACTGACATGCTGAAGAGTGACCATGGCAGTCCCAAGTGCAAAGCTCACCTCAGGGTACCTGAGTCTCCTACTAAGTTCCCGAGATCAATGCCTCCCACCAACTTCACGCCACTACAGTCTGGCATAGTTGGAGGCTGCCCTAGGCTGCTTCACCTGGACCCGGGGGGGTTACGTATTTCGAGAGCCGATTCCTTACGCCATCGGATATGAAGAGATAATCTGGCAAAGGCGTTGCCAGGAATCGAAGCCTCAGACTTCCACTGCGATGGTTGGAGCGAGACTACGCGAGGGAAGCCCGAATCACCAATGTGATTCAATATTCAGGCGAATTAATGAGCCAGGAATTCCTCTTCAAGATATAGCCAACCCTTCTTACCATTCTTGTAGGGCCAATTGCACTTGCACCTAAAGATCTACAAAGAACTCCGCGGGTCAGAATCATGTCCAACATCAATGCCACTGACATGAAATGAAGAATGTGAATCGCTGGTGTTGCATGTATTCAAATCGCTACACGATAGCGCACCCAATAATTTTACACCTGTTTAGCCCCAGCGTCTTCTGCCGTTCTGATAGGAATCTGCCCATCGATTCCAGGCATGAAGGCGCGATACGATGCAGCAAGTGACCATTCCTGCAGATCTCTAATCGTCGCCTGCAAGATATCAGTTCTTGGGCATGACAAGGAATCCCTTGGTGTCTCACCTCAGCTTCTGCTGTGAACCGCTTCCGTCCCGTCGGGCCATCAATACAGAGCGCGTCCTCAATTGTGCCGCGCCAGTTCACTTGTACTCCAGAAGTACACGCTGCAAGCCATTGCAACTCGCCGTGTTGCATTTCGGGATGTTGGATTACGTAGTCTCGGAAGTACGGCCATGATATACAATCCAGCATGTCGATGTGAGGGACGAACACTTGGAGTTCTGTTGGTCGGATCCAGTCAGGGAGGTCCTAGTGAGCATAAGTCAACCGAACACCTGACTTCGTTTGGTCTCATTGGTGTACTACACTATTCCGCTATGTTGCCGGAGTTGAGAATACTTACAGCGTATGTCTGCGGAGTCGGATTGATCTGCCATCTCATCACAACCCAAACAACCCACACCGCCGCCATGGACGTAAACGAGTAATCCTGCCTCCTCGCACTATAAATGAACTGAACAGCCCATTTACTTATCATCGGCGCAGTCTCATACTCATCCTTATCAAATAGCGCCGCCACACACGGAAACGTCCCCGTCAGATCATCAGGCTTCGCTCCCTCTATAACCAGCTGCCTCGCCTTCTTGAGCGTATCTGCCCAAGCCTTCGTCACAGAATCAACGCCGTGTCCGTCGTTGGCGGTCATCATTGCCCAGTTATGCTTGGCGTAGTAGTTTTGCAGCTGGCTTTGCTGGGCGACGGCGGGATAGTGGTTTGCCTTTATACCGCTGGAGAAGGGGAGGTTGCCGAAGTGGTAGGAGGAGAAGTAGCTCTTTGTACGGGAACCCAGGTCGATGTTCATGCCGTCGGCTTCAAAGGTGGTGCCGTCGAGCCATTCTGCTCTGTCGAATAGTGTTTCGATGAATTCGCTCTTGGCTCGTGGATTTACACCGACGAGTCTCGTGGACAGTTAGTATGAAACTCATCTCACTGGCCATGACCTCGTTCGAATCGGGCGAAAAGACATTTTTTCTATACAAGAGTCTGTTTCCTCTCATAAGAAGTGAAGGAAATGAGAGTGAGATGAGAATGAGATGAGAAGAATGTAAGCAAGACTGCACTTCACTTGAGATACATGGCTGAGGCTGTCTCATATGAGACGTAAGAATGACATCTCACATATACCATCCCACTAATAGACTTATAAGAACATAGACATACCTCTGAGGCACAACAACAGCCCGAGACCTTGACTCAATGTAAGAAACAATGGCATCAACAGATTCACCTATCCTTATCCAAGACATAACCTCAGCAGCTTCAGAATCCGTACCATTCCTCATAGCCGCGAGTATAGTCTCAAGCTGATTCAGCCTCCCCTTCTGCTCATTCACGGCATTGGTCAATCTATTCAGCGTCTCCCCCGACAACACCTTGTTATCGTAGGTGCAGACATTGCTGCTGAGCTCACACCTCGCGCAGGGATGTCTCCCATCACACTTGGTCTTCGTCTTACGGCACGGCACACAAGCATGGTTCGTCGCGTACTTGCGGGACGATGAGGCCCGGGCTGCCCGCGGGCGTACGGTCTTTGATTGAGGCTGTGATGGTGCCGGGGGTTCGGGCTTAGAGGGAGCTGGGGCGAGATTGGGGAGCCTCTGCATGGCCTTTACCTGGAGGTTCTAACTGGTGAGAGGGGGCTTGGCCTTAACGTCGAATGATGACGTCGTTCAGAGATAGTTCTGCAGCCAATGTCATGCAGCGCATTGTTCGTTTTCGGATTTTTCAAGGGTTTTTTCGGGGGGATGAGATGTCGCGGCTGATCCACGTCCCGTAGGCTTTGTTTGATACTGCACCCTGTCATCTCACTACGGGATGGACGGGAGAGGATTGTCACCTGCAGGGTGTGATGTCAGGTGACAGCGCGTTTCGTGTTGATGATTGGAAGCATCAGTATGAGAATGTCATCAAGTATCATAGCAAGTCTACAGATGAAGTCGTTGGAATAATATGTAAATTCATTGCAAGAGAAACATAGCCTTTGATTCAATTCAACTAAAGAAAGCGAGGTGGTTCAGTTGATGAATCGACAACTTGATACATTGGTCAAAACAGCCCTCGTTTCTACCAACCACGTCAATTACGGCATTAGAGACTCCCCAATTGGCAATGGAAATCTGCAGTCAAGCAGTAGCTAAGCCAAGAAGGGAAATAAAGATGGATTAACCAGGCTGAGAGCACTGCCTGTCAGTATTCATCGTGTTATCTACCGCAGCGGAACATATACGCTGATCAGAATCCCTTCGGAGCTGAGAAAGAGCCATAACCTCCGAACCATTCAATGCCTCGCCGACCGGTCCGTAGTGGCAAGTTGTAAGCTTTGCATAAAGATCACCAAACATGGCCTACAAGCCTCGAGACTTGATACCACAATTACGTCGTTGTAAGATGCCAAGGGGAGACGCCTCACTTGCGGTCTCGAAGATTCATACTGTATGTAGCATTGTTAATCGAACAGAACGACCAAGAATCACACGCCCCTAGAAAAAAGGAACAGCCTCGATGCAGCCAGTGACAGCTGTGCGAGGTATCCAAGATCTCGGAACAGATCAAGAGATTTCAGGTCAGGGCAATACCAAATAGTGACATCATAGAGGGGCATTTTCCTCCAACAGACTCTTAAACCCGGCGATTTCTGTCCGCGACGCCCAAAAAAAAAAACAGGTTACGAATCGTTTACAGGCTACTCTTTCAATTTCTGTTTCTTTCCCCCGCGATGACGGTCTCTTCTCTCCTTTTCTATCGCTTTACAGGGGTAAATCGGAAAGCATAGACTTAAGTGACGTCGTCTAAGGCAAAGCCCGTCGCTCTTCGATTCGGACCCCACGGCTGCCGAGCAAGGCAGATGCTGCATCTCGTGTGTGACTGGACGCCTTGCCTGAATTTGACATTGTAGATCATTTCACGACAGGCCCGAGAAAAACAGGAACATGCCGACCAGCAGCGTTTACACTTTAGCTGTTCAACGGTTCTGCAGGCTTCCGAACGGACCCGTTTCTGTTGGCCTCAATTGCGTTTCCCCAGAATTCTAAAGTACCGTGCGATTAATTGAGGATACAGACACGAAACAAATTTTCACGGGCCGAGGACACTTAAAAGAAAACGAATTTTTTAACCAGAACCGTGCATGCATCCCAAAAGCCGGCCGGGGAACGGTAGCCCACTGTTTTCACAAGACCGGGCCGAAGCCGGAGCGAGCGGGGGGAAGACCGGTGCTTTTGGCGGGGTTGATAACGATAGGGTCATTCACATTCATTTCCATTTCAGTTATTATCATATCATGATCGAGATAAGATATCGGTGAGAGCGATCAATAGTTATTTGTGTTACATCTAAAGGCGGTGTCGCTCGTGTCCTTCTAGTCAGCAATGGGTTCACCTTGTGGCTTACGAGAGCCGGACAAGGCTCAGACTAGTAAATAAGAACGAAGCTCGAAAGGAGAGAGGGTGTGTATCGTGTGTGTTGGGAATGATTCAAGACATGGTATCGCACACTGTACTGTGCGTGTCCGAACACGACGGTGACCCATGACTGACTCAAAGATTTGCTCAGTGGCGGACAACTCACGACAAATGAGTCAAGTCTGACAAGCAGAAGACGGGAAAAGAAAAGAAGAAAAAACTCTGTCCGATTCGGTAACTTTCAGCTTTCAGCTTAATTCAATAGCCTCGCGCATGTCTCGGACTTTATTGATAAACTTTTCAATAGACTCGGAGACAAACTCCAACGTATCTCATTACTCCAATTCTCTACGGAGGTACATCTGTACAGAGTGCTAATACAAGTAACAAGAATGGTCCACCCGGATACAGAAGGATTTCGCGGCTCCGGGAGTTCGGCGACAAGGATCCCTGTAACTGGACATACAAGTAATCCATCTGACCCCAGATTCCCCTATACGGACAAGATATCCTCGGCCTTGCAATCTGTGCTCCGGGCGCGAAAAAGGATAACGTTCTCCAAAACTACCAAGCACTTGGCATTGAATCATGACTGTGCCTTCGCCGCCTTTCACAGTATGCACCGTTTCAGCCCTCGGCTCCTGTGGCGCGAAGCTATCGTATCCCTCTCCCCCCTCAACCCAAACATGTGATGGCCGGCGCGCAAACCCCAGCTTTACCTCCCCGCCCTTTTGGTGATAGGGAAAACCAAGGTATCAATCAAAGATGCGGCACATGCGCCGGTATCGAATCATGGGGTTTGGTCAAGCTAGCACTTGTATTGTCTCAGATGTTATCTTTGTTAGATGCAGGTGATTCTTTGAGCCTCAGTCCTAGCGACCTGCTATCTCATGCTTTGGTCAAAGAAACGAGAGGTAGACTGTTCCTTTGTTCTGCACAAAGACCTATGCTCCCTCACACCATGTGGAAAATCAGGGTCCAGAGCTGCGGCGCAATTGATACTCTGTGTTGCGCGTATGGCTCAGCCCGGTGCCGTATCGCGCTCGTTGTATTGTCAGCTGCGCATTTTGCTCGTTCCGTTCTGTATGAGGTAGTTCTTGCGGTCTGGGTCTCCAAGTCAGCAGGCACTCTTATAGCGAAACCTATTGACTGATTATTTTAGTGCAATCAATCGTAATCTGTGCCCTCCCGTATCTCACATCTTCCCATGTGGCATTTTTGCGCGCGGGGAAATACAGATGGGATGGTTTGCATCTGGCAGCTGTATTGCTCGAATAGGTAGCTCGATTAAGCATCCATCCATGCCTTTATCCACACTCCCCCCTTTTTATGGGTACCTAGTCCTGTCCCCTGTCAACAACAACATCTCCACCAAAGATGCCTGCTCCCCCGCAAATCGCGACGTGGTTTATTTTGTTTGCTGGCCTTGGCCAAGTGGACGGCGTATGGTATACCGAGGATAAGGACGAATTGATTATTACGGAGGACAACTGTATTAACATCACAGTCCTCGCCAAGGATGTTTCTATTTCATGCGATAGTTATGCTTTGTTACTGAGGCCCGCGAGACCAGGCTTATTCGTCGATAGTCGCACGCAAGGCAGCTCAGGACTCTCACCGCAGGGCTGGGGCTGGCTGGGGCTGGCTGGGCTGGCTGGGCTGGGTTGGTGCTGGGCTGGCTGAAACATACGTGTTAGGCAACGCAGCAATCCATTTTCAACCACAGAATCGATCATCACCATCATCTTTGTGCATGCACAGTGTGTCGCAATTGCAATCCCCCATCAGCATAGCATACGATAACATCATCTTCTCTTTTCTCTTTGGGGCCAGAACAATCTCTCGGTAAGCGTAATGAACATCGTACCATCGACTCATGGCCGGGCCCGAGCTTCTTCTTCTTTTTTTAGACACGAACGACGATAAGGGGGAGACCTCCGGGCAAGAAAATATAAGACTTTAGACGAGGGTGCCAAAATAAAGTTAGAAAAGAGCACCCTAGGCTTGGGCTAAATTACCTAAATCTTTTTATCCCTTAGGATTAAGGTCCTGGGTTTTCTTTCCTCCCCTTGTGGGGAGAGAGGGCCCAGCCTCACTTTTCTTCGTCTTTCGGCCGGTTCCCATCATGATATCGATCAGTTCATCGAAGCGGACCCGCGGGGTCCACCAAAAGTGCAGACAAGTCATCAGCAGAGAAATGTAAAAATCACCTTTTGATTCAAATCAAATTACAATCTTGGTACCCAAAGTCGAGTGAAGTAACGACGGTTGAGTTGAGCTGTCAGTTCCCTGATTCTGGTAATCAGCCAAGCCCGATCGTCCAACATTGCGGCCCTTTTTCTAAACCTGTCTTACTTGACATCGTATCAAATCACAAATCAGCGTAAATGAACATGACACTGTAGGATCGTTACGGTATTATGCGAATTAGTTCGGCCGAGAATGACTTGGACGTTCGAATAGGCACTGATCCTCTCTTGCTACATAGTAGAGAAAAACAAAAGAACAAATAAACAGAAAAAAAACTCATTCTATCCTGTCCAGTAGCCTTCAAGACCGTCCATCCATCTTGACTCCAACTTGGCGGATTCAACACCCCAACCCGACTTATCCCCTCAAACTTTGTGTGTATACTGTACTGTATCGCGCTCAACAACACCTTGAAAATTCCCTCACGATCCCGCGAAGCCGACTTTCGGCGCGTGAGTGTCACAGATGAATCGGTGCTCCCGAGTGAAGCTTCAATCTAATCTAGTCATTTCTACTAAGTGGTCTACGCTTTCGAGATAAGGTGAAAGCAGCATTTGGTGGAATGCAGGCTGCTAGGGCATCTCTTATCCAGGCCCTCGCTCATCCCCGCAAAATACGCTGTAGGAATGGATCCAGCCTTTTGGTGCCCCCAGGCCTCAAAATGTAAAAAAAAGGAACCAGACGAGAGCCCACGACGAGATTCCGGCCTGCCTTGGCTAGATCCACCCCCAAAGTTGTTCGCTCACTGTGCGCGGGATGCCTTGTTCGGTACCGCGAGACAGGTCTGATTGCCACTGTGGATTGCCTATGATCCTTTGATACTGTGCCACTGAGGCTCACTATCTTCCAGTGACGGCACAGTGCGGCTCAGCTTTCTAGCAGGGGGTCGTTTGCCACTCCCCCCCCTAGGTTGGAAAAAACAGAGCCCGCCACACTCCCCACCTCCTTTCGCTTGCCTGGCTTCACCTGAGGCTCCATCTATTCACTCCCCACTTACAGGTCGGGTACAGCCTCTGCCTGTGTCTATATCCATCAGCCTTCCCCCCGAAATCCCCTTCCCCGGCTTTCTCTTCTCTCTCTCTTGATATTGCTTGATATCACAAGATTCATCCCGTCACAGCTATTAGCGTTTTTTGCTTTTTCGTTCACGAGCTGGACCTCATCAAACTGTTTTGCTTGACGCAATCTAACCATCTCACACACAAATCTCCCATCCCTTTGAAAGAGTGACACCTGCTTTATTTACCAAGGCGCCATCTCATTCCAGACACACAAAACAAAGGAACCACCATCAACACAACAACAAAACAACAAAACAAGAACATATAACTCTTCACAATCCATCTAAATTAAATTAACAAGAAATTCTCCTGGCAAAACAAACCACATCAAATCTTGTCACCATGGCTCACACAACCGAAACCTACTATTACTACGTCCCCAATCTTCAGGCTCTCGACCCTACAGCTCGCGAAGTCGACCCTTCAGCTTACGCCTGGGTGCAACCCACAATCATCGAGGATGAGGATCTTACTTTTGGCGGAAAGGCTTTGAGTGCTTGGTACGAGGAGGACCGTCGTCGTCACAGCAGTGGCAGCGATGAGGAGGAGCGACGTGGCCGTGAGCGTGTGCGAAGAAACTACTCGCGCTCCGGCAAGTCGCATAAGAAATAAATTACATTTCTACCCCTTCCTCCTTTAGAAGCAAGGAAGCGAATGCGGTTCTCGACACTATGATACCCCTTTAGACATCCGACACCTGAACTTTTTACTCACCGCCGCGACAATACCTTGCTCTCATCGCCATTACTCCTCAGATACATCTCGCCATCACAACGAACTCAATCACTCGACATGTCCGCATGAAACGACACTATAGACACTCATATCACCAAACCTGTACCACCTCTTTTCGCTCTCCCAACCCGACATATTCTTTGGCATAGCATTCAGCATCACGACCGGGAAGCGCATTTAGATTTTTTAGGGGGGGGTCAACCCAACTCCCATGGACATTTTGATTCAGGCGTTCTTGTTTTTATCCATTGGTGCCTCTCTTCTGCATTTGGGATACCCCCCCATGTTGGATCACTTGGCTGGTAGCCAAGATAACGTGGTTTAGAGCGGGACTTGGCTTTTACGGGCAATCTCCTTGTGGGATAAAGGAGAGTTGGTTTGAACGCGGGAATGGTGGTAAGACTGATAAGAGGTAGCACCCACACTGAATGGCAGAAATACCATAACTTAACAATCACCTACAATGTCTCTTGATGTGAATGTGATGGTCAGCTAACGAGCACCGCGCTCAGCGCACTTATCGCGTAACTGACAGATAGTAAGTGGCATTTGACTCGCGTCATGTTTTACAACGTTACAGTGCTTCATTGTCTACACAGCTAAAAGGGCGTTCGCATCATGCCCTCTATGGCAGATGATCTCCACATGAGGTCACGCACACAGTCATGCCACGTGCAAATCTCATCAAAACCCCGATTCACTTTTGTGCATCAGCGCCAAAAGTCGACGTTTCATTACGATTCAGGTTTTTTTGTCAAAAAGAATCCCATGCTCGTTAGATGACGTCGTTATTGATCTTGTGAAGTCGATCTTGTCCAGGCGACAAAGTGCCGAGGTCTACAGTGTCTCCAACAGTTGATGATCAGAGGGAGGGGAAATGTCAAAAGTCGATGTGGGAAAGATCGGTTTTTGATAGGTTTGCCACCTTCTGTTGCATGACGAGACATGGTTGCTCTCCCGGTTTGTTCTTGTCTCCAGCGGATGGGCTCCGTGGGTTTTGAGTCGTTCGGAGGGAAAGATGAGATTGGCTTGGCACTTGGGAATTTTGCTGTGGCGAACGTGGCTGTACGTTTTGTATGATCACGACTGTTGGAGGCACATTTTCGATGATGGCATTTTGAGGTATTGAATGAGAGATTCTGGACAGACGATAATAACTATTTATGGTCACCCTTGATGTACTCAGCATGTAGTTTGGTCGGTGCTAAGTGGCTTGCCAGACTAGATCAGACTGGCGATGCGATGATGCTGGGCTTTTGTGTCGTTGTCACTGAAGAGTTGTGAAAGCATCGACCGACCGGCGTTGCTACAACGAAGATGTTTTTACCTCCAAAGTCATAAGAAGTGAGGGTGTTCGTCCCTCAAAGTCCGCTGGTGGCCGTAATGTCCTTGTTGTTGATCGACATGCCCCATTGTCTTCTCCTCATCAACTCCCTCTCGTTCTAGACCACATCGGCCTATGCTGATCCCTCACAGCGCAGGATCTAGACCTACCATATCACTAAATTTGGTATGTACTGGCCATGTCAGACCCGAGCACTCGGTAAAGCTGCCCTAAAGCCGCTTGGTGGAACGGGTTGCGCGATGATCCGCGGTCGCTAGAGAATGCTGCATCGTGTCGATCCTTTACCCGTGTTTCACGATAATGGAAGTCCTTCTGAGAGTTGAGCGATGGATAATTTGGCGCAGAGTCTCTGACTCTTCGAAGAGATGGTAACGACAAGTGTCTGCGACGTTGACTCTGTGTGTTAATGCGGCAGACAGTGGTTCTGGAGATGTTGCGCAGGCCAGGAAGCTTGAAGAACATATCCATGACTAGCTATGGTAATTTGCTGCACCTTGGCCTGCGATTGACTTGAATGCGAGTGAGTTTGGCTATATACGGGCGGTAGGAGCCGGAGTGTTTGGAGAACCTCCAAAGCGCGTCGCTACATACCTCGAATCAGTACTACGCGACGGATTGTGTTTGAGCGTAGGGCTCATTTAAATAAGAGCTATAAGGGTTTATCTACATGTGCTTAAATGAGATAGTCAGTTATTATTCATTAAGCTAAATACCGTAGTTTCCTGTAGTACTATGGGCTGGTGGTTGGCTCTTGAGATTGTACGATAGATGTTTCCCTTGATATCTTAATACTGAGCCTTGTATCTATGAAACAATGAAGCAATGAAGTAATATGTGATTTGATAGCAATAGGCTCTAATAATTCCTTACTTTCCCTTACTGTCCCTCCTCTTAGGCCTGCGGTGTATATAGTGTAGCTGGAGGACTTTTATGTTGGAAACGGAGCTCGAAGCAACCGTAGTCGATGTCCATGCGATAATAAACCCGAAGAAAGGGCTTCCGATATCGAATGCCCGACTGACTGTAATAGCGTGGTGTCTCTAAGAGTGGCTGGCCTACCTCCGCTGTGCTTGTAGCCATTTGTTTCTGATGCCTCCATTTCATCTCGGCTACAGCGTAACTCACTCTAGCTCTGTGACCAGACCCTTATGAAGAGAGATCACTGTTAGATATTACAAGTTCTGCCCAGGGTGGAATATAAAGACGCATCAAGACCACATAGTTGTCTAATGGCTTGCTACAAGTGCGACTTGGTATTCTGCTTTAGCCCGGCGTCAAGACAGGAAGCTGTTTCAAAGACGAGCCCGAAGGAAATGAGGGAGGATCTAAACTACTTGATATGCTAGGGGCCATTCTGAATATAATTTGGGAGCTAATGTCCTAAACTATACCTACAAACGTGATGTTGCGCATCAAGTGCAGTGGAGCGGTGACTAAAGTGACAGTATTTATTGAAGCTTTGGAGGTGTATTCCGAGCCTCAACATACTGGATGAAGAGAACCTAAGTTTAACACTATAAGTACCGAAGCGGTCAATTCTATTGTCTCCTCACACATGCTTTACGGCCTGCGGGTGTAGAGCTCGCAAAGGTTGCTGAACATGATCTGATCCGAAGCGCTCCAGGGTATCATCGTGAGCAGGCACCAACATCAACAGGCCTCCAACACAACACCAACAACACCAACAACACCGCCACGACACATTCGTTTGATGTATTTACCCTCCCCCCCGTGATCATCCAATGCGACATCTTCTCTCTTCGCCAAATCGCACAGCGAGCGACAAACGCTGCCTAAAACCTCATGCACCCCAGAAACCACCACCACAACCGGGCGCATTTGCCCAACGCCCAAAAACACACAATTGGTCGCTTTCTCGCGAATGAGGCTCAGCTCTGTGCTACAAACCACCAACTCATCTTTCGCAAGCTTCAATAGAACCATGCAGGTTATGCACACACTCCGCCTCTTTGCCGCCCAACCCTGGTTCAGCCGCAGTATGAAAATGGAACCTCAGCTCCTCACGGCGGTTAATTCTTCCACTTCTCTTCAATTGTAACACTGCGGAGAAATGCCGGCTCGAATTCATGAGAACTGTGTTGACTTTCGGGTTTTGATATGGGATAAAGGTGAGTGATTGAATCTGAGTACGAGGGTGATGCTGATAGGTGTAGGGAATGAGAAGTGGCTTCGTGAGGATGTCCGACCGGGGGCCTTTTATGAGGGCGAGATACCTGCACTATGGAATGAGTCGCATGTCATAGTCGTGTAAGTATTCTCGCGTTGAGGTTGAGAATAATGCTGATTATGGCAGATTCGCGGACGCAGATAAAGTACGCGATTGCCCATCGTGTAAGAAGCGCTTCACCGATGTCTTCTGTATGCCTGAGCTCTGGTGGTCAAGCTACAGCCGTAGATCAAACGGCTATTTTGGCAGCGAGACATTTCGCGATAACAACGGAATGATCACTGCATTGAGTCAGCCTCACTATATCCGTCGAACTTCATCCTCAGAGTACTGACAAGGCAGATACGTGGTCACGGTTCCTCGTCAAGCAATTGAACGAAACCAGCCATCAATGGCATAAATTCAACATCCTCACACGCTGGATAAAGGACCCCCAGCAAACAATCCTTCTTGTATTCGAAGCACCCAAACAACTCCGTCTACGCGATAGATTCCCCAATCCACTGCTCCTAAACTCTCACAACGACACGCTCAGCGATCCCTTCTGGTTCTATCCACGTCTATTCGAAGATCTCTCTCTTCTTCAGGATAACTCCGTCTGGTCAGTTCGCAATCACGTTCGCGGGATCGAGAAAACAGACCTTACACAAAAGCCGGAGCCTGAATATCGAGCTATGCATGATACAGCTCGACATGCCATTCACGTCTCGGAAACGCTTGAAGTTGCGGAGAAGACTATCACGGCGATCATACAGCAGCATAGTACTTTTGAGGCTGAGGCAGCTGGGGGGAGTAGATCTGCAAAAGCAAAGTTTCGACATGTTGGTGAACGATTACTGTGGTATATCCACATTCTACAAAGTCTACGCTGCAGAGCCTCCGCGAACAAGGAAAGGCTTCTTAACGAGATCCAACTGGCGTTCAACTCAGTGGCGCAGTACGATTCTCGCATCTCTGTCAAGATCGGACAGGCAACGCAATCCGACAGCGCAGCTATGAAGACCATAGCTTTCGTGACACTGACATTTTTGCCTGCAACTTTTATATCGGCGTTGTTCAGCATGTCGTTCTTCAAGGTAGATGATGACACGGGAGTCTGGAGTGTGAATGAGAAGTTCTGGGTGTATTGGGTGTTTGCCGTTCCAGCTACGTTGTTCACCTGGGGGCTTTGGCTATCGTGGCAGTGGTTTTATAGACCGGTTAAGATTGGGGAAGAGGAGAGGTCTGTGAAGAAGTTTGGGGATTTGATTGGGTTTGTGAAACGGGGTGGGACGGATGAGGAATACCAGATATCTTGAGCTGGGAAGGCATTGAAGGGATGACATGTTTGGGTATCGAGGTTGCGACTTGGATAGCTTGGCATTTTGAGATGCAAATGGCTGACCTTATGATATATATTACTGATCAACTAGAAGTAGCATTGCTTGCGTGCTAATATCCGTGTACTCGTATCTCGTTCCTCATTCCATTGTGCTGCTGTAATCCAAGTGCTAAGATCCCAAACTACCATCATATGTTGCTTCAAAATCTCAATAACCAAAGACGCCTACTATCGATCAAATGAGTGCGTTGCACCTGGCTCCAACATCATAGTCAACTGGCTGCACGGGATCGACCGTCACAATAGAAGCTGGCTTTGCTGAAGCATCATATTCCTGCACAACGACAGGTGCGGGCGAGGCAGTTGTCTCTAATCCAGGCGTCGGGGTCGACTGAACCGTCACTTCAACCACAATACTATCCTGCGGCGCTGGTGTTGAGACCTGAGCCACAGGGGCCGTGTTGTTCTCAGTTGCTAGGCTCGTACCAGCTAAAATGTCGTTACTACCGTATTCGCTGCTGACAATGAGTGTAGTGGTGTCAGTTGTACCTGGGACTTCGACCAGAGGAACATCGCTAGTGATGATCTCAGGCTGATTGTTCTGCATGAATACTGGATACACAGGTTGTTGCGCCTGGGTCTGGGGTGTGAACAGTGGTGCTGGTTCGGCGGCATAGTCGGGTACTGAGTACGAGATGGTGACCTGCTGCTGTGGCATTTGAGTTGGATCGTAGACATATGGCTGGGTAGAATATGTCTCTTGCGAAGTAACCTGATATACAGGCTGTTCAGTCAATTGAACAGGAGGCTCAACGACGGCCTGCTCAGATGTAATGACAGTCTCATAAGACGTCGTCTGCTGAGCCAAAATTGGCTCTTGGGTTGAAGCAGCTTCGAACGTAGTCTGCTGCTGGACTTCAAAACCGGGTTGCTGCTCGTATGTTTGAGTGTACTGAACTTCCTGCTCGAAAACAGGCTGGCCCTCATTCATCGTGTAAGAAACCTCAGTCGTAACACTGAACTGCTCGGGCTGCTGGCCAAAGGCAGCCTGTTGATCAAACGCAGGCTGTTCGAAAGCTGGCTGCTCAGTCTGTACCGAGTACTCAAGTGTTGACTGTTGCTCATAGGCTGGTTGCTGAAACATCGACTGCTGATTATTTTCAAATGAGAACGACTGCTGAGGCTGTGAGAAAGACGATTGCTGATAGTCGAAGCCTTGCTGGAACTGCCCCTGTTGCTGGTCTTGGAACCCGCTCGAGTCATCCCCTCCAAATCCAAGGTCACCATCATCGTTGTAGCTGTCGTCGTACTCGCCATCGCTTCCGGAGCCGACGCCACTGAAGCTGTTGACTGTGTTCAACATCCGACCCATCTTCCTCCAATTCTTCTTCTTTCCAAGCTTTCCAACCTGTCGACTTGCCATCTCAACGCCTTGGCCAGTGAGTCTTGCGGCATTGACCGTCGCTGAAAGGATGCTATCGCCGACGTTTTGCGGCTGATTTGGCTGACCAGGTCGTGCCTTTCTCACAATGGTCCTAGTTCCTTGCTTCGTCTGTCGTGGCTGCTGTCCCGGCCGATCCCACGTCGATAATCCAAGCTGTTCGTTGATGTAAAACGGTGTCATGTCTGGCGTTCTCAATTCTCTCCAACCGTCAGGCAGAGAGTTGGCAGGCTTCACCCATGAACTGGTCCCCAATCTCTTGTTGAAGTAGAATGTTCGTCCATCAGGTGTCTTACGCTCATCCCAACCAGGTGGCAATCCGGAGAATCCAAACAAGGCCGCTGCCGTAGGCTTCAGGTGTGTCTTCAAGCCAGTAGAGTTATGAGTGTACCAGAGTCGGCCAGAGACGTTCTTTCGAATGGTCCACATTTGGGTTGTCGCATCTTGAACGCAAGACTGAACTCGGGGGTCGGATTCAGTGGCATAGTAGGATTTATCGTGGCTGTGAGAAGTGTTGACTGCGTTGGAGGTGAAGCACCACACACAGAAGTTGGTCGTGATATGCGCTGTGCTGCAGATGAGACAGGTGTAGACTGACACGTTGAGAGGTATTCCTGGGAGTGTTAGCGACAATAGTGGTTCACTAAAAAGGCCTCTTACCTTTTCGACAATGGTTACACAGCTGAGGTTGCCCGGTAGATGTGCGTCTCAAGTCTGCCGCAGGAGTAGCTTGAACAGCTGGGGTCGTCTGAATTGCAGGAGTATGCTGAGCTGGATGATTCTGCTGAACTGCTGGGATTTGTTGAGCTGCCGGGGCATACTGGGCCGGGTGATGTTGCTGCGGAGGTTGTGCACCTGGAGCATGCTGAACCGCTGGACTTTGCTGGGCTGGAACATGTTGAGCCACCGGGGCTTGCTGGTTCACAGGTGGTTGCTGATTCGCATTAGGAACGACATTCGGCTCCCATTGTGGTGTGCCCGCGACGCTGGGTGTAGCGACTGTGGTAGCAGGCGTTGCGATACCGGCGCTACTACCGCTGATGCTTCCAGGTCTGCCGTGATCGGCCACAAATGAGCCGATGTTGCTGTTGGCAGTATCAACCCGATGGATTTGCGGAGTTGGGCTCGCAGGAGATTGCTGTGGTTGTGCTTGGTGAGTGTTTGGCAAAGTCGTTTGAGCTGGGTTTGGTGATGGGTTTGTTGGGCTGAAGGGTTGTTGCTGGGGATGTTGCGCTTGAACATGCTGCTGTGGAAACTGTTGCTGGTATTGCTGCGGCGGCGCTTGTTGATGGATTTGCGGATACTGAATTGGTTGTTGGTGAGTTTGAGGATGTTGAGGATGAGGTTGGCTTTGCTGTTGTTGCTGCTGGGGAGGGTACTGAGCAGATTGCGCTTGCTGGTGCTGGTGCTGGTGCTGAATTGGTTGGCCTGGGTGTGCTATCGGCTGAGCTTGGTGAATCTGCTGTGGAATTTGTTGCTGGTAAACAGGTTGAATCTGTTGCCCTGGATGATATGACTGAGGCCTCTGTTGTTGAACATGCTGCTGCTGCTGTTGGTTGTGAGGAGGATACCCAGCTTGGGGATACTGCTGCTGAGGAGCAGGTCTATGCGGCAGCGAAATACTCTGGCCTGGTGCTCCAGCAAGTTTCCCAACAGGTTTCCTAGCCACAGACCTCTGATGCATCAAAGGCTGAGGCGCCGCTTGTACAACATTACTCTGAGGCTGTGGAGACGCCATCTCGACTTACACCAGAAGACACAAGCAAGAACAAGGACAAGAAATGACAAGACGGGAGACGAACGGGAACCCCGCTTGGCAATGCATTCTATTTATTGCTATTATTCCCCTGTCCATCACAGGACTTTAACAATCAAGACCTGAAAGAATATTTTGTATCTGGTTGTGCATCTTCTTTTCTTTCTACCCCTCTATCTGGTATGTGCAAGGGTCCCTCAGCCGCAAATATGCAACCATTCACAACGCAGCTCCGTCGACTTCGTGGCGCGCTATGGGATGCATCTTGCTTTTTAGGGAAAAGCTCGAGGCGGATTTTGGTCCAGGGCGTTTTTAGTTGCCGTTGTTGTCTCCGATGTTTAGTGTTTGATGCGGCACAGTTCCGCTGTGTTTAATCTATTCTGTAGCTGAAGGTAGGGCTCTGACGCGGATTGCGGATGAGTGTCTGGGAGCAAGAAAACTGCACACCTCGATAAATGATGGATGTTGGAAATAAGAGAAGTACAATAAGCCTACATAAGTCTTACCTTTATGCTAGGTAAGGTCCGGAGTACCTAAGGTAGTTTAGGGTAATTTAGGATTCGGAGTCCTAAGCTTTTCTTGAGGAAGCAGGCACTAAAAATGAGTCCCCGGGTGACGCTTGCTTTCTCTTATGGGAGCAAACATTGCCAAGTGACTGTGACTTTTTGCAAACTTAGTCGTTCAAACTTATCTCTTGCACTCCAGGTACTAGCACGCGCTTCACCACTGACTGCATTAACGGGCTAGGCAAGAAAGAAGACTCAGGACCTTGACCCTAAGCCATGAAAATGCTTAGGTAGATCTAGCCTAAGCTTAGGGGACTCTTTACTAAGTTTAGGTATTTTGACACACTATATCAAGGTACGGTATCTTCTTGCTCCCTGAGGACAAGGTCCTCGCATCAATGACCTACCAATGGAATCCAACGCAGGTGAGAGGCGCGGGGGGCCGAGTATCCCAATCAGATTGAACGAACACTCTCGTCCCTTATCCGCAGCCTGATCTCCATTCCCCGCATTCCAACAACCTTACGATATCGTATGGCAGCCATGTCTGGACTGGAAGGCCTAGGCATCGTTGCAAACGTCATTGCTGTGGTAGACTTGTCTCTCAAAGTCATCTCGTGGTGCTCCAAATACGCCCAGGACGTCAAAAACTTCAACGACAGCCGCGCTCGGCTTCTGCAGGCAACTATCACCTTGCATTACGAGTCTGGGAAAATCCACAATCTACTCACTGGAAAAAAGAATGGCAGCAGACTGGAAGCTTCTCAGAAGCTTGCCCAGGTTATGGGAAGCAGCAAGGTGAAGTTGCGCGAGCTTGAGGATCTGCTGTCCGACAATGCCAATTGTTCAAGCCCCAAATGGCCGCTGCGGAAGGACAAGGCTGAAGCCGCTATTCGAAACATCGAAAATACGACAAAGTCCCTATTGGAAGTTCTTCAGGTTGACACGACGTAAGTATATACAGCCTCTCGCTTGTGCCCTGCATACAATGCTGACCACTGATTACTACGCAGAGGCATCATCCTTGACATCGATGATAGAACAGAGGCTAGCCAGCGAAGGGCTGCAATCGATCAATTGCCATATGTTAGTGATGCAGTTTGGGACTCACATGCCGAGGAGCATAACACCACCTGTTTGGAGAACACCCGTGAGGATATTCTGCGGACGATCATGGATTGGGCTGAAGACGCAACTGATCAGTCCAAAACGGTGTTCTGGCTGTACGGCATGGCGGGCACTGGAAAATCCACCATCTCACGCACAATTGCCCGCTCCCTATCCAAGGCTAGGAGGTTAGGCGCGTCCTTCTTCTTCAAACGTGGCGGACTGAAGGAAGATAAAATATCAAAATTCGTCCCAACTATTGCACGTCAACTTGCAGCGAACCGACCGGCTCTCGAATCTTATATCTATAAAGCGGCCCTACATGACCCAACTATCGCGAGCAAGGGCGTCAGAGCTCAATTCGAAAGACTCATTCTAGAGCCCCTCTCTCAAAGTTCAATCGAGACCCAGGATAAAACGCCTATCACTATTGTCGTCGACGCACTGGATGAATGCGAATCTGATGCTGATATTCATCTCATAATTAACCTCTTTTCTCGCACAGGAGAAATAAAGAAACCATGGAGCAGAATATTTGTAACGAGCCGCCCTGATCTTGCGGTTCGTCTAGGTTTCAACGACGTGCAGGGAGCCTATCAAGACCTGGCCCTTCACGAGATATCCGCTCAAGTAATAGAACAGGACATATCAACATTCTTGCAACACGAAGCAAATCTGATCAAAAGGAGATGGAATTCTTCAATTGCCGAGGGACGTAAATTGCCCGTCGACTGGCCTGGAGATGCCTGCATCAAGCTCCTCACAGAACGGGCAGCACCTCTCTTTATCTTCGCCGCAACAGTATGCCGTTTCATAGCAGACCGCAGGCATGGCAGCCCTGATGAGCAGCTACAGAGATTCCTGGAATCTTCGGCTGAAGATACTTCGTCTCGGATGGAACTTACCTACGGGCCAGTCCTCGGTCAGCTGCTTGGTTCGCATTGTTCCAAACGCAAGGAGACGATCATTCACGAAGTCAAGCGAATTGTCGGTACCATAATTAACCTCGCTACCCCTTTATCATCATCCGCACTTTCGAGACTCGTGAGGATTGACCAGAAAACGATCGATGTCAGGTTAGACTTTCTCCATTCAGTTCTGAGCATCCCTCCCTCTTCAAGTGAACCCATTCGAATGCTTCATTCATCCTTTCGGGACTATATGATGGACCCAGATATTGAATGCAATCCCTTTCGGATCGATGAGAAAAAGTCTTCAAGAGAGCTAGTCGGAGACTGTTTCCAAGCGATGGAGAGTCTCAAAACCGATGTCTGTCGTCTGGGGATCCCAGGCCAGTGGCGTTCGACACTAAGGCCCGAGGTCATCGACGAACGTCTGCCCCCAGAGGTTCAATACGCATGCATTTACTGGATAGCACACCAGCGGGTTGCAGGAATTGCTTCTGGAGATGCCGCTGCCATACTCAACTTTTTGGAGAAGCATCTGCTTCACTGGATTGAAGTCATGATCCTCCTCGGTGGGGTCTATATGATCACCGGATTGATCAGGAGTCTTAAATCCGTCCTGGAAAGAAAGGTAAGAAAGAGTATATGCTGAGAACTTTCAGATCGCTAAAATCCATTTGTTAGTCTGCTGTTGAACTGAAGTTGATCGATTTCCTCGACGATGCAATCAGATTCGTTGACACAGATACCGAAGTAATCAACTTAGCACCCTTACAGCTATATCACTCTGTTTTAGTGTTTGCGCCTACAAATAGCATCGTTCGAAAGACCTTCGCCGCTGAAATACCGACATGTTTGAGACGTGTGACAGGCAGAAGAACCGACTGGGATCCGCGACTGCGTTCGTTCGAGAATTCTGCGCCCACATTGTGGCACCCTGGAGACAGACGCTCTACTGTGTTCTCACCTAACTCTGAAATATTATACTCTGTCTCCAACAGAGAATATGTCAGAGCTTGGAGATGTGACACAGGTGAATTTATCGAGGAGTTGGAGACAGATCAAAACTCTTTGATGGCTCTTTCTCCCAATGGAGAATACCTAGCAGTGACCACCTCCGAGCACAAGATAAGCTTATTCTCGGATACAATAGCACATATTCTAGAGCTACCACAAGACAGACGTCTCGGTGATTTAGCCTTTTCACAAGATTCTGCACTACTATGGGTATGCTCAATCAAGGGGCAAGTGAAAGCCTGGAATGTGGCAACGGGTGATTGCGTGAGAGATCTCAAATGCCCATGGGGCGTGAAAATTGACACCAACTCTCCCGAGACCTACAGGTGTCAGTTGAAGTTCTCAATGAATCAATTCACCGCTCTGCTTATTTCGGACTATGTCGATGCGCATGTTTGGTTTCCTGAACTCGGTGAGGAAGCAAAGTCCTTTCACATAGCGCTTTCAAACGATGCCATTGACAACCCCAGTGACTTTTCGCCAGATGGGAAAGTATTGGCTACACCTTCAGCACGAAATTCAGTAATAAAGATCTGGGATATCCCAACAGGCCAGTGTTTATGGGATTTGGAGGAGGAGAATGGTAGTAGCATGATGGACTTCGTCTTTTCGCCAGACTCAGGCCTCGTGGCGACAGTGTATGCCAACGAATCAATATTGGTATGGGATATACGGAGTGGAAAGTGTTCAGCAAAACTGAACGTCGGTCGTCGCCTCTCATTTCCCGGTATTTCATTCTCACCCGACATGAACTTTCTCCTTTTCACAAGTGAGCGAGAAGATGGGCCGCACAGCAACTTAGAAGTGTGGGACTTGAAAGCAGAAAACTGTGTGACAATGATGAGATGCCATGAGGGGGATATATACCATCTTTTATTTTCTCCCAATGGGCAGACCTTTGCTTCTGTGCGACGGGGTGGCGGTGAAACACAGTTATGGGACTGGCCAAGTCTTCTCAAAGAGCCTCTAGAGGACTCTAAAGAAACGACGTCACTCGTTCTATCGCATGATGCATCAACAATAATAGCGTCATATGGCATTCACGAGTTGAGAGCATGGGATGCTGAGACGGGCGAATTGCTCCACGAGATACGCACTAAGGACCAAATTTCCAGTATACGGTCTTTCGAGTTTTCCCCCGATTCTTCGTTTATAGCAACGGATGGATGGGATGAAGCGGCAGTATGGGGTGCGCGAGATGGCAACTGCGTGTGGCAGGTCAGCCAGCGTGACGAAAGGACCAGGGTGCATTTCTCACCAGACTCTCAACGTATAGCAGTAGGTATGCAAAATCACCTGGATAGGGAGGGTCCTTGCGTTCAGGTCTGGAAGCGGACTAATGGCACATTTGATCTCGAACATACCTGGAACGAGACCTGGGTTTATGACTTTTCATTCTCTCCGAGTGGATGCCTGTTGTTCGTAAATCACGGAAAAGGGATAAGGGGTTTCGACTGTGACACAGGCTCGCTTTTTCATGAGATATCGTTTGACGGACACGAGATAACCGTGGTTTCGATGGCAATCACCGACGATTCTTCTACCCTTGCTCTTGGACTTCCATCTGAGATTCAAATATGGAACCTCGAGGCAATGACATGTACCAAGCAGTGGCGAACTAACTCAGGTTCCAATTTAATACTGTCTTCCTCGGGAACGCTTTTGGCTGGCCAGATTAATAACGACATTCGAATCTGGAATTGGGCGACTGGGGAGATACTTGCTGACATTAAACTTTCTGAAAACGGCTGGAAGATCGATGCCTTTTCACCAGATAACTCTGGGATACGCACTAATTATGGAGTTATCCCAACCGTCTCAAGCCAATACCTCACACCAACGTTCAGACTTAGAAAAGACCGTATAAAGTGGAAGGAAAACGATTTGATCGAGCTGCCGCGCGATTTTCGAGGTATTCGGACTGCCATATCAGCGACAGATTCGGAATTCAATGTTGCATTTGGATATAGCTCGCAAAGAGTTACTATTCTCCAAATCTCTGAGGATGAGGATTTGAGACGGTTGCTTCCTCTGATCGAAGAGACTTGAGATTATATGGTGACATGTATACAGGGGTGAAGCGTGATAACAGGCATTCTTAGAATTGGCTGAGCAGGCCGTTTCGCAAGTAAATACTCCTGTTGTCTTAGAACCAAAGCAAAGAGATATCAATCCAAAATGTCGAAGACTGCCTGTTCATATAGAAGTAGTCCCCACTTCTTACTAGCTCAACCATTATTATGTCGACTCGAATGCCTTCTAACACTTACATGTAAGATCGCGCCTCTCCGAACACATGTCCGGATGACAGTTGTCAAAATATTTGTCAAAGTCATCATACACTCCACCTTCGCACTTTGACTCTTCCTTGGCGCAGCTAGTGCATTTGAAGTGTCCCGTACCCGATTATCGCTCGCACTCACCAGCATCACACATGTTCTTGCATTGCCAGCTATAGGCTGCTAGCGATATGTGCCAGCGCTGCAATCGTCCTTCTTCCGTTCTGCACAGCCGCATTAGAGTCGCTACTCTCCATCCTTGTCTTTGCCTTGGTGCAACATTTGCATGTAGTAGGTCTTGCATTGGTTCCCGGTGGCGAATAGCTCTTTGCGAAGACAGTCCCTTTAGCAAGACTGGCTAGCAGACTGGACATATCGGCATCAGAATTGAAGATTCAGGATTGCCTGAACTGCACCGGCTCCGTAGTGTCGAGATCGGGCAGCTTCTTTGCATCGTATCTGGGATGAGGCTTGAAGTTTCCCGGCAGAATGATTTGTGGTACAGAGTGCGAGCTCAAGAGCTCTTCCAAGAATTGAGATATTTTGGCCTTGTCCCTACCTAGCTCCGCAAGGATATCAAAATTGCTCAGATTCTTGGTAAACAACAACATGTTACTGTTGGTTACCTCAACTCAACATGCCGTTCTTGTCTCCTCCTCTCTTCCTCGCACCTGTCCTGTTCTTCACATCCGATTGGCGCCTCCTGCCTCCATCTTGCATACTGAGCTGCTCCTCTAGCACTAGCAAAGACAGGATCAATTACTGCTCCCCCCTTATAAACGAATGATATTCCCTCCCCACCATCGCTTTCTCTCTTCAGGTACCCGTTACCTACGAGCGCACTTCGTAAGGCTTGAAGAAAAGCTGGATGTGTTGCGTTCTCTCCTGTCAGCAAGACTGTGTCGAGGCGGAATCCCTCAGGAACTGTGCCACAGAAAGCCTGCAACCTTTCGGTCACGCGAGCCCAGAAATCGGGGTTGTCCTCTGAGGCAACGAGACCTAGTTCAAGGTCTACAAACGCCCGGTCACCGTGCCTGGGCTGGAGATCCGTAAATGCAGACCAGGTCCTGATAATGTCTCCACGTAAATCGGTAAGAGTGATCCCCACGACTAGGGTTGTCTCCAGGGGAACATTGTCCTGCTCCTCCGCACATTGCCAGAAGTTCTTGTAGTGTTTACACAAACCCTTCCCATGGCCTGCGAAAACAGCATATGACTCGAGAAGCTGGCTTGGGTATCCGCCAGCAGCGGGCAAAGGAAGTACAACTTTGGGACGGGGCAGACCAGCGGCCACCCACGGTCGAATACGCGCATATTCGAGCGCGTCCCAGAGGTCGGGTTCTGCCAATCCTTGAATTCGGGAGTGCGACACAGCGACTCTATCCAACGGACTCGCGACTGCGATAGAAGTCACGTCGCGTAGCGAGACAAGCATGGTGGCGATAATGCCAACATCGGGCGTAGCTGGCCTTGCGATCTTTTTGTTCACAGATCGTCGCAACTTCTCCCATCTGGATAGTGGTGGAGGCGGAGGAGAATTGACTAGACGCTTCATAAGTTCTGCATATTCCGGGGTTGCAGGAATAGCCGCGATGTTTTTAACCGTGCCATTATAGAAGTGCACAGCAGCGGTCCTAGGAATTGATCAATTGGCTTCATTATCACTGGTGAGATCAGAAGTAAAGGACAGCGTACCCGGAAGTTAACGATAGACTGAATCCAATCCCAGGCGCATCATGAACACTCGCGGGTAGACAATCGGCGCAAGTGGGAAACGGCTCAAAATAGTCACTAGAAGCCTTTGTGATGCCAATCAGGCCAAAAATAAGTGCTAATAAGTACATGATGGGATTGAAAACCGACAGCAAGTTTGCATGAAACGTGATGGAACAAATGCAAGTCAAGCTGCTTGACAAGTTGAAGCGGGTTCAAATGGTATCTCACACAGAAGAGGTCACATGACAAATCGTATCATGTATACAGCCATTCCAGTACCTATGTTATATATCAACTAACCAAGGGGATACAATAAAACTTAGGACCTCTATCTAGATGACAAAAAGCCTGAGGTTAACTTAGGTAAACTTCATATAATATCATCTAGATTTAGAGGGTCTTAAACTAAGTATTTTTAGGGTCTTAATTTCTTATACGCTGGAGCCAATCCAAGCATAAAGATAATCTGCCACCTTGCATCATACGGGAGGTGGTAATTGCGCAAGCTAGAGTTGGTTGGTTTGCGTTGACAATCAGCATAACTCGTTTCAAGGACACCACTGCATATTTGCTAACCAGCAGACATCAGCACCCAGTCAACCTTGAGCAAAAGTTGTGATTCATACTCAAGCTTGTCGCAAATCCAGAGCAGGGAGAAAACACTGCGAGGAGGAGTTTGATTGGAGTGCAACTTGCTTTGAGAAACATCAAGCAATAGACCGCCTCGTGCCTGATACAGTAGATGATTGCGCAACACCACCAAATAAAGGCCAGCTTATTGCGTCTTTGCTATGACATCAATTGCCAAGCGGCATTCGCCAAAGCTGGACACGTATGCTGTTGTACCACAATCAAGCACTTTGGGGTATTACAACATGCTTGACCTTCACAAATCGAGGCTCACAGATGGAAATCACACAGAAAACTCTGGGAAACTGGGAATGCCTCAGAAGATCGTGGAAAACCAAACATGTGTCTGGCTGGCTATAAAAGCTGCCCTTCCTACCATCCTTCAACTTTAGTCCTTCATCATTATCCAACACCAGCAACACCTACACCGATGTTCTTTCTTATCATATATATCTATTCACAACAAGACTATCTTCTCGCAGGATCTTGAAGAGCAAATGACCAGAATGATACTCTGATCGAAAACAACGGGGAGCTTGCCCTTAAGAACGAAGACCTCAAGAAGAACCTAGCGCTTGCTGAGGAGCGTTAGAAATGTTACTTCGACTTCTGGCGGTGCGCAGAGGAAGAGCTCACAAAGCAAATTGAGCTGAACGCAGAGCTCAAACTTTCAGGCATCTTCAAGAATCTGGCCATGGAAACACAGCTCTCAGTGACCATGGCGGATGCCTGAAGTTATTTGCTCTCTCCGCTCATACGGAGCGTTCGTATCGCAAGGTATGAGATTGATATTACTATTAATGAACATCAACTAAACTGGGCAAGACAGAATATGTATATACACCTAGTATCTCTCCTTCTTCGTAGCACCCTTACTAAGTGAAGATATAAATGTAAGTGAACTCTTTTCATTCTCTTATAATGCGATTGCGTCCAAGTGGGCCTTGTAGGGGAGATGGCTGGGTGTTGCGTGCTAGATACTCAGTGTCGAGCCAATATCCCAGTGGAAAGAGACGCCATTCACGGTGTCAACAGTGATAGCAATAAGCTCACATAGTCTCAGATAAGTTACCTTGTGTCGAAGAGAAAGCGCGGCTCATTCTATGATGGGGAGAGCCATACAAGGACACTCAGGGAGACCTGGACATTAGCCGTATACCCATGATCGAAGAGTTTACTGTTATCTCTATGACCTGCACGGACAGTGACTGGGCTATCCCGCGTCTTGCAGGTGAGGCACCACCTAATGAGGGTCCTGATTGGAATCCCATGTTCAGCCAGCAATTTATGATTTCGATGGATAGTAATCCGACACCTTCTCCACATAGAGACTGTATTAATCCTCATTCCTTTGTAGGTACCCGTGTGGATAGCCTCCCGACAGATAACCCGCTCTATCAACAGAAACAAGAGGTATACAAGCACGCTATGGACGTCGATCTCGTCCCAGCTATAACACAAGCTACAGTACCACCAGACTATAGACGCCAGCAACGTCGATGGACACATTGTGGTATACGGGTCTAAGCTCGAAGGCATCGATCGGGTACGCTTCCAGTTCTGCATCGCCGACGAAGCCCATCTTGCAAAGCGGGTGGCCGGTGTTGTTGAGAACTTACTCCACCAGTTCAGATGGGAGTTCCTCCTCTGGGTCACAGGCCCAAGATGTACACACCAAGTCCCAACCAACATTCCACCTCGTTGCTTCTCACCCACATACCACCAAAAACCACAATCCAACACAAACATAAAACACATGATAAGATTGAGGTAGCTGTCGGAATTCTCCGCCTCCTGTCGAGAATGGTTCTGAGTGTGTCACGCACCATCACCCCAACCGCATGGTGCTGACAAGCGTCAAGCGCTAGTAGAAGCGAGAAAGGCACGAAACTCCTGTTGAGTCTTCTTTATACGTGTTTGAACCTTGAATAAGGAAAGCATAAGAAGACAGGTTCCAGATGAACTACGTCCCGAACACGATCGCCCACAAGGCGATGGCGATGCAAATGATACGCAATGCATCCCCCTTGTGTTCTTCTTGATCCTTTCCTCGCCGGCTTTCGAACAACTTACAGGTTGCCGACTTTCACGAGCCGAATGGAGTGTCTCAAGCCGTCTATATATATAGAGGATGTGTTCTCAAGATGGAACTCATTTCCTCATCATAGGATGCTGTCATGGCGACCAAATGAGAACTGGGAAGACAAAGATATCCCTGACCATATTACTCCATTCACACTGAGTCAGATGTGCGAGGCTAGGCGCCTCTCGCCATGGCTCGGATCATGGGAGGGGAACAAGATGGACCATATTACTCCCATAAGATCTATATAAAAGAAATGAGGTAAGTCATGAAGCAATGATTCTCGGAGCTGAAGTCCTAATGTCGGACCATCATCGAAACTAACGTGTAAATTTTATAGACAGTCGTTCCATGAAGCCTATACAAGTTAAACACTCCATCTCCATGGCACATGGAGCTAATCAGCAGCACACGATGCCGTTTCAGGTGGTATTCGCTGCAGACCAGCTGATGGCAACCCAGTTTTGGAACGCAGCACTGGTACATATCGCTAAACGAGACGTATCCGTACCCATGGACAAGTTCTCGGGATATGTATACGAAGCTTGTCACTACCCGATCCATGAGCGACTTTGTTTTCCCCTACTTCGGTACCATTAAACTTTTATGCTTCATGGGAAAGGCTGGCAAGCGAGTAAGAAGAGGTATTGTCAACAACCGTTGATTTTTGAAACTTTATGTGTGGCCAAGGTTTCGTTTGAGCCATTTGAGACCTTTGGCGGCCAATGTGTGGAGGCCCTCGTCGGCCCCCAGTACCGTCCATCGACAACCTAGAGAAATGCCGGTACCGCAAGATTCTGTTTACACTGGCACTTGCAAGTTCAGCATGGGGTTTTCCTCGCTGTGCACAACAACGCGGATGTTTTGCTTTTGATGGACATCGGCAACGGTCTGAAGGAGGGCGAATCTTCGCGCTGTGATCGAGAAAGAGAAAGGCCGTTTTGTGAAGACATCAACATGAATCCCATTGAGGATGAACCAAATCCTTTCAGGCTCAAGATCACTTTAATGATTGGTACTAATAACCCTGGTTCTATGGAAGGTCTCCTAGAATCTCAGGGGCACAGATTCGTTGGCAATCGACGAGTCATGGGTCTTGTTCTCAAGCTCGGAGCCCGCATCGGCCGTCTTTGACAACTCAATATGCTGAAACTCAGTTTGTGGCATGCACAATGAGGCATATTACTTTATATATATGATAAAGGCGCTAGCCGAGACTGTACCGAAAACTTATAGCTGGTCAGCTCGAGTTGTAAGCCGCCAGGCAGTGTGCGCCACTCCTTCAACAATTGGATGCCCCGTTCCGACTTCTCGCTTCCGATAGATGCCAAAAGCCTTTTTGATCAGCAAGGGTTGCACTATGTCAGCGTTGACACAGTCAAGGTCGGTGGGAAGAATCGACTTGCCCTAAGAGTTCTCGACAAAAAGCAGGACTCCAACGGCGATGGGCAAATCCCTAACAACAATCGGTCAGCCCACATCTTCTCCACTTTAAAGAGAGGAAGTAAGTGCTCGACTAATGGCTGAGATAATTATATTAAATATGGCTGGAGAGTTGAGAGATCTTACATTTACCTACATGGAAATGTACAATCTTTAACTTTCGCTGTTACACAATATATCAGCGATCGATGCGCGTCAACCCTAGATGCCCTTGACTTGAGGATTGATTCTCTTGAATACCTGTGGCCTTGGCAGGCTGGCGGGCTTCGTGTCCAACAGGACCAGGTTATTGATGCAGTTTGGCCGCCTGGAATGGATGGTTCTGAAGCCGACTCAGGCCCAGTAAGAGCGGAGACGTCACATCAGAAGAACAAGTACGAACTCGATAAATATGTTAGCAAATGGCTGAAAGAGCCTTTGAGTGGTGTGTATACTGCTGAGCTTCGCCCAGACTCATGTTATTCTGAGGATGGATCTCCATCCAGCTATTCACGCAGACCCTGGGCAAGTGCTGAGAACCAAGCTGTTTCGAGACGATGACCTGGTCATTGTGTCCAGACTTGGTGGACTGGCGGTCTAAAAGCCGCAGAAGAAGACGCCAGATGAGTTTCGACCATGCGATGCTCTTTGCTATGCTGCAGAATCACTTAAAGTATTAACAACAAATACTTCGCTCCGGCTCAATCCCGAACGATGTCCCGACTACAAAGCAAAAGTACGACAAGAGAGCCCGCTAGCTCCCTAATCCACACACACATCTTCTGCCCAGTATCCTCAACAGGTTATGAGCCCTCGCGTGAATCACCGCGTATAGAGAAAAAGCCCTCTTTTGGCAATTCTCTTCTTTTTAAGCCGTTAAACACACACGCGAACCCAGGAAGGGAAGGCGTTGTGAGACGAGATTCTTCCTCAACGACTGCCATTGTTCTACATGCGGTCCCCCTGAACGTCACGTATGGCACCCAGGTTTACGACTATAAGTGGAAGCTGCACTATTGAAGACTTTCTATCTGGAAGTGCCAGCATGCCGAAATCTACCGCAGCCTCAAGATTCCCGGTGGGCAAAAAGCGCAAGCTGAACAAACAGGAAACTATTCCAAGCCTACAGCATTCTGTTTCCAAATGGTCGATCAGCACCCCCACCCAATGCAGGTTTCCATATCGATTGATGAAAGAAGATCTCGAGATGTGCTTATGCAATCATCGAAAAGCACAAATTCACAGTGGAGGCTTTGCTCTTTTGCTGTTGCTAACTGCGATTCGCAAATATAATCGAGAGACAAGCGGACAGCGTTTCATTGGCCGTTCTCTTACCACTGGCTGCATCACATCACGTAACTTGAAAGGCTGAGCGATAGCAACCAAATAGGTTGATACTGACAACCCATATAGCAGCGAAAGACCCTATAGTGTCCAAGCCGTGGCTTTGAGGGTACGCAAGATGCATATAGCCCCGGTGCATTCCATACTCATCAGTTGGCGAAACGACTAGCACAACACCTATTCTAGATATACAGAGAGAGTACTCTAGATGAATATGTACGACTGTGAAACACACGCCAGGCATGAAGGGAGCCCTACCGTATCACCAAGTCTTCCAGAAAGCCCAAAAAGACAAAGGAGCGAATTGCCCCCACTCCCCATTTTCAGTGTCTCGTGACTCTACATATATACTTCGCCATCGGCCTACCTCTTGCTCTGGAAGACGGATTGCTGTAACATGAGCAGACTGACGGATATCCTTGACTGTGCGTTCCACACTCTATGATCGATAAAATCCTGAAGATGGCACACGAAGATCAGAATCATCTCGGGACAGAGAGGATAACGAGGGGGTTGTCAGGTCTGTCGATTCATGATCTAACTACAAGGATTCGAAAGGAGACTCTCGGAATCTTTGATCCCGATAATCCCGACGACAGAGATCGTCAAGGTCTCATCACGACCAGTTCAGGCAAGACCATTTAGCACAGGAGTATTCCAGTCCCGACGGGACTATACTATCAAGAAAATGGGTCATATAAACTTCGGCGGTCAGGCAATCAGGGCCCTTGAAGCCAGAAATCATGGTACATCGTATACCTTCGCCTCTAATTCTTCTGCCTTCTTCATCCTTCAACCTTCATCTCTCATCTGGTTTACTCTTCTTCATCCGCCTTCTGCAAAACTATTTAATATTAATCCTCAAATTCTTAATAAAAGAGTCTTTAACTGTTCTCAGGTATGCTACTCTATTATTACTAAATAACATATCTAACATAGCATAGTGACCATAGGTGAATCCTCACTCGGGACTTATGATATATACCTTTGGCCTGAAAATGCTAAGCCGAAATCTTTACTCACTTATAAGGACCCCATTCAATCACCTACTTATATACAAGACTTTATTATAGTCTGAAGCCATAGGCTCTCGTGGAGTGTTACCAAGGTGCCCAGTTCTTGCCCACGATGGCATCCGACGGCAAGAACCAGCATTACAAAATGCTCGGCACATCTTTCGGGCAATGCTAAGTATGTGCCCCCTGAACTGAGATCTTGGTCGTACAATAGAGACTGACTAACTGTGTTAGGTAGATGAGATGAGTGTTCTTCTCGAGCAATGAATATCTGCGCTTTGACCTGGAGCAACCTAGAAAGGCAGTCTAAGTCCGACCTGTAGCGGATACCAGCAGAAAAAGTCTCAAGGCTGTCAGACCAGAGAGTCTCCCTATTCCTCCGTGGCTTGGAGTTAACTTAGTACTCCCACTACTTCATCTGAGTCTCCATCGAGCGGAACTTGATCAAGACCGGAACTCCCTTCAAGATGGCATGCGTCGAATTCCGAGATGACCCCTTCGAATAGACCTGGATCCAGTCGAGTCCTTCAAACAGAATATAGGTCTTCATTCACATCATACATCCCATATTTATACGACCATCTTGAACATATATTATCTCTCGATACACATCGTCTCTCGACACACATCTCTTCTCTACATACATCATCTCGACAAATAGCCCTCGACATCCAACTCTCTAATCACATCTCTCTCATCAAACGTCTCTCATCACACTACCTTTCACGTTATCTTCTACGAGCGATACTACGAACGATAGCCGCAAGGTACAACACGATCATATCTGCAGAAGTCTTGAGAAGCGGTCCATTTTTTCGGGCCAGGCAATTGTACCTATTACGCCTGTCTAATGCAGGGTGTAAGCGGGATGCGTCACACCGGACAGATACCCTCTTACCTCTGTCCAGTCTGCTACTCAAAGCTCGGGTCAGAACTGGAGAACCTCGATCCTATCCCCAAGGGCCTGACCAAACCTCTCGGCACACCCACTGCTGATGTTGGTCTATTTGAGAAGTTTCCTGGAGATTTATGAATGATATCCTTCTTCAACTTAATCTCGAATCCTTTCGAAGCTTCCGAAATATCAATGCGAAGGCGCACATGATTACAGAGTGGGTGGTCCCCCTGCAGCCTGCGACAGACACAAATACTCCCATTGCTTCGCTATTCGAATTTGCAAGCCTGGGAGTGATTAGTGGAATAGATCGGGCTCTACGAGCGTCGTTGATGGCGAGGAAATCCTCGCGAAACACTCGCAATATGGCTGTCGTCGTGCATCCAGTTTTGGAGGCCGCATCACGACGAGTATTGGCGGTGTGCCATTTCGAATGGATCCACGCCACGACACTTTTCAGGCCGTCGATGCAGACATCTGGAGGAGCATCATGCCTTCTTCTTTGATGAATACTCAGGCTCCCGTGTTCGTAACCAGGCATGTTTACCGCAAGCCAACCTAGACGTCGTTGCGCTCTGCAGCCAAACTAAAACCTTATTAATCATGGGTGACTAACTATACTGAAAGTTCTGTTATATATTACAGCTTGGCCCTGCCCTTCCTGTGCACATGTGTTGCAAGACTTCGTCGACCACTATGAGGAATACGAAGATAATACCCACAATTCTATAGTAACGGTGCAGACATCAGGAAGTTTTTCAATGAGATGACCAATAGTCTGCCAATGACTACCGCGCGGAGCAAGCAGAGTAACAAGTCCGAAACGGCGAATCATATGGTCAAGCTTGGCGTCGACCACATCAATCACCTTCTGGAGAATCGGGAGGATGGCGGTCTGGCATATATATAGGATCTGTGTCAGGCTGGCCCTGATCTATCGCCCCCGCCTCTCTACAGTATGTTTCCATGCCTCTGACCTGTCCCCCGCCTCGCCGCGCGTGTTTTGCCAACATCTATACCGTTATAGTTCTTACCGACAACGATGGCCTCGTAGCATCCCGAAGAGGGTTGGCCCTAGGCAGGCCCCATCAAGGAGATGCAGAACCTCTACACCAAAATGAAGGATTACAGGCCCCTAATCGAGTTTGGCAGAGCTGTCTTCCCCACCGACAGGCTGGGCAACCTCATCCACAAGAGCAAGCGCGGCGCGCTCGAGGAGTACAAGGTTTAGGTCATGCTACACACCTCCTAGTTACAATCCACACCAAGTAATACCAGAGCCACGAAGCCGATAAGCATTGGGTTAACCTTTTCTTCGAGAAGGATCAAGGCTTCTACACCTCTGATCTCGTCGAGTACCTCGGCGGCCTAAATCCACACTCGAGCTACTTTACAATAAGATCAAGGTAAACAAGACGAAAGCCTTATTAGTAGTAATTAACGCCCTATAGTTACAA